GCCCCTTTTCCAAAAGGGGCATGCTAAGTAAATACAGAAGTAAATACTTCAAAGTAGGAATAAGAGATCCTCCGGAAAAGGGCTTTTTTCCGGAGGATCGGGGCCAGTGTAGACGCTCTTTTCCGGCTTTTCTAAAAGCCGGAAAAAAGCGGCGGACATTTTTATTTAAATGCTGCGGGGGATATTTAAATCGCCCGCAGATTTCCCTATTACGACCTGTAAAATTAGCATGCCCCTTTCAGAAAAGGGGCCAGTGTAGACGTAGCCCAGATGTGGCCTCTCCAGAGCCGAATAAAGGGGAATAACCACTTCTCTGGATCTGCTGGCAATGCTCCTCTTAATATAACGTAATATGCCATTAGCCTTCTTGGCTACAAGGGCACATTATAGACTGTCATCCTTCTCATCCATTGTTATCCCCAGGTCTTTTTCTGCCAGATTGCTGCTTAGCCAGTCAGTCCCCAGCCTGTATCAGTGCTTGGGATTCTTCTGTCCCAAAGGCAGGACTCTCCACCTCTCCTCATCAGATTCCTTTGGCCCAACCCTCCAATTTGTCTAGGTCAGTCTGGACACTATACCTGCTGTCCAGGATCCTGGTCATTAATAAAGATGTTGAACAAAACTGACCCCAGAACCAACTCTTGGGTCACTCCAATAGTTACGGATCACCAACCAGGCATGGAAGCTATGATCACTACCATGGAGCCCGCTAATCTAGCCAGATTTCTATCCACCCTACAGTCCATTGATTTGATGAATGCTTTTTTTTTTAATTTATTTTGCTGACAAGAATACTGTGGAACACTGTATCAAAAGCTTTTCTAAAGTCAAAGTGCATTATATCCACTGCCTTCTCCATGTCTACAGAGCCAGTTAACTCATCATAGAAGGCAATCAGATTGGCCAGGCACGATTTGCCTTTGGTGAATCCATGTTGCCCATTGAGTCCCATATGATTCAAGTACCCCTACATCTTGGCAGAAGGTAAAAGCAGGTGACCCCTATAGTCCCTTCTAAGCGAGAGTTCTATGATTCTCACACTTATTCAATACAACAAGTAGGTCAGTGTCAGAGCTGAGAATAGGACATAGAGATCCACTTCCAGTTCTGTGCTTTAACCAACTGAAACACAGTAGCTCCCCCCCATGGGGATGATAGTCAGAGGCAATTATGAGTCACTGTCTCACTTCTAAATACTGATCAGAGTCTTAGATAGGTCCCATTGGTAAGGAATTGGTAGGTCTTCGTAGAGAATGCAGGGCCAGAAGTCATCTCTACATCCCTTGCCTCACTTTTTGCTACAGAACAGGGCCTGGTTTAGATCACAGGAAATATGTCTCTCCAATTACTCTAACTAGCCAGTGGACATGGCTAATTTTCCAACAGGAAAAAAATGGAAAATACTTTCCAAACCTTCCTGTTTTCCAACTAGAAACCAATGAAAAGATTGCAGAAATGGGGGAAACCATTGCAAGTTGGAAAGTAGAAAGTAGTTTCCCCCCCTCCCATACTTGCTTATTCTTTTATAGTTTCCCCCCTTCCCAAACTTGCTTACTTTTTTTCTTGCAGGAAAATTCTAAAAAAAATATTTCCTTAGTAAGAGAAATCCCATAGGTAAGAAACCCTGTATTGCCTCAACTCAAACATCCTCAATGGATTCCAGGCACATCCCATTAGATATTGTTACCCATCCCACCCTATATGATACTTTTATCATAAATACAACTCCTTTCTTTGGCTTTAGATGACATAATGACTCAAAATGGTGTGATAACGACAATTCGAAAATTCTTCCCGGAGACCTGGATTTGGGATGAAGTTTCCACTGAGTGAGTGTTCTTCTGTTCTCTCATTGTCTATTTGTAAAACCAACATAGGTTATTTGGGGTTTGATGTACCTTTGCTGGCCTGTCGAACCAAGTTTGCCATCCAATGAAAGTGATCATGAATTATCATAATCATTATGAGATTCCTATGAAACAGGAGGGGTAGCGAGATTGGGAAAAGGAGTTGGAAAGATGCAGAAAGCTCTCTCATGAGGGGAAGGATCTCATGGAACAGTGTTTGACTTCAGATCCTGCTTAGACAGCAATGTACAGAACTTAGCTGATCATCTTGCAAGGGCTGGAGGTTCCCATTCCAGTTCTCTAATTCAAATGCAACGTCTGTGACCCTCAATTCTGTAGTCACTCTAATGGTTGCACAGTCCACTGTGAGCTGTTTTGTAGCTTCTGTATTTACATTCTGAGACATTATAAAACTACTAATGGTGGTTTGTAACCTGTCCTTTAAATCAATGTCTATACCAAATCACTAGAGGATAGCTAATGTGACACCAATATTTAAAAAGGGCTCTAGGGATGATCCAGGCAATTATAGGCCTGTAAGTCTAACATCAGTACTAGGCAAATGAGCTGAAACTCTAGTGAAGAACAGAATGGTCAGACACAGAGATGAGCATAGTTTGTTGGGGGAAATGCCAACATGGTTTCTGTGAAGGGAAATCACACCTCACTAATCTACTAGAGTTCTTTAAGGGGTTTTAACCCCCCGTTAGTGCGGACTCCGTGCCCGTGGCTACACGCGGCACGGAGTAAGTAGTTCAAATTAAGCTTTCTAATTCGAACTACCATTACTCCTCTTGGAATGACTTCGAATGCCTACATTAACCACCCTAGTTTGAACTAGGGTGGTAGTGTAGACATACCCTAACAGAACGGTCAGACACAGAGATGAGCATAGTTTGTTGGGAAAAAGCCAACATGGTTTCTGTGAAGGGAAATCACGCCTCACTAATCTACTAGAGTTATTTAAGGGGGTTAACAAGCAGACAATCCCAAGGGTCATTATCAGTGTAGCTGTTACCGTTCACCCTCAACAGAAAGAGTTGTGGATGGCTTTGTGTGTGCTTTTTTTGTTGGGAAAAAGCCAACATGGTTTCTGTGAAGGGAAATCACGCCTCACTAATCTACTAGAGTTATTTAAGGGGGTTAACAAGCAGACAATCCCAAGAGTCATTGTCAGTGTAGCTGTTACCGCTCACTCTCAACAGAAAGAGTTGTGGATGGCTTTGTGTGGCCTTCACCACAGTTTCAATCTCAGGGTTCAGTGCATATCCTGTGGTAGAGGGCTGCAGAGTATTACTGACGACCTCAGAAAGGCCAGGTGGAGGGGAGTCTGAGGTCTCAGAGATTGCTGCCTTTGTAACTACCTCTGATTAGGTGAATCAGCAGCAAACACGTCATTTCCCCTAAAAGGTTCAAGGTTAATAAGAGACTCCACAAACCACAGGAGGAGAGGTGCACCCTCCCCATCTAGCCAAGACATCGGAACACTGAGCACTTGGGACAAGTCAGCCCCCCTCATCAAGAAGGCTGCTTCTTTCCTGTCTCAAGAGCTCAACCCATCTTTAAGAGAGTCTCTGAGTCACTGCCCAGTACTTGCTGGAGGTCTCAAGGAAGGTTATGTAATGTGGCTACTTGTTAGGCCTCTATGAACTCTCATATATTACCCAGCTCCAAGCTCCTGGAACCTGATAGTTCACTGCTGGAACTTTATGACATCAAAGGATGTTTGTTTAAAGGGCAAAAAGGGGCAGGAAATATTTTTTTTATTTTCAACACCCAAAAAAACTGTGGGTTGCTTTCAACCTTCTCCCATAATTGCCAATAGAATCTGCAACAAAAAAGCAAGGAAAAGGGCCTAAACTATTGATCTTGATTCTGTGTATTTCTGTGGTTTAATGTCACCCATCCAGTGCCATGTCTGATTTGTGAGTTTAGATATTTGTGGGTTACAAAACTACAGCATTCTTTTGTTTCTTTTTTTTAAACCAATTCCCTACTTTTCTAATTTTTTTTAAAAAAGAGCAACTTCAACATCCTTAAAAAAGGCTCTAACATTGTGGTCATCATTATGAATTTCAGTTCTACCTCCAACCTAACCATATTTTCTGAGTAGGGTGTGGGATGGATATCCTGTGAAGTGGGAAAGGAGAACATGGTTTTAGAGTCTCTCCTATTGATTGGCTGGAAAATACCCAGTGAAAATGCCCAATGATCCAATTCTTTTCTCACTTTGTCTCTTGCACTTTTAGTTCCAATGGAAAGGCCAGTGTCTCATTCACCATCCCTGACACCATCACAGAATGGAAAGTCAGCGCCTTCTGCCTGGAGAAGGAGGCTGGGTTTGGCATAGCCCCCTCTACCTCCCTCACAGCCTTCCAGCCCTTCTTTGTCGATCTGACCATGCCCTACTCCATTGTCCGAGGGGAAACGTTTAATTTAATAGCCAATGCCTTCAACTATTTGGACAAATGCATCGAGGTACAGTATGGCCTTACCCTGTCCTTCCTGAGCCGCTCTCAGTCGTGTTTCCAGCAGGCGTTACCTCTTGCAGCTAGAGCAGAAAGCAGCAGTGCAGAGCGAAGCATTCCCAGTCTCATTCCAACCGCTCAGCCTTCTTTGCACTGGCTTCTCACACGGTGATGGGGTGTGTGTGGGGGGGGGAGGAGGGACGCTATGCTGGCTCTGTCTATTGACTGATGCTCTATCCTTCAGTGCAGACAGACCATATCATAAATGAGAACTCATTCTGAGAGGTATCTACATCCTGCTACTGTCCTCCTTGCAGGGGTCTGTCCTTTGGCATTTGGTGTTCTCAAAGCACAAGACAGAATTTTCATGGCAGCATGGCCCATGCAGCCAGTTAGTGCACAGCATGCTAGTGTGCTGTAGATTCATACCATGGCTTGCCAGGTACTGCCTCACCATGTAGACAACCATCAGAGGACATTGGCCAGGGTATTGGAATAAGTCATTCTGAAAAGTACAGTTCACTTTCTACTTGAATGGTGTCTGCAGACGTGCCTAAGGGCTGAAGACAGGGTTTATTATCACCTCTGAAGAATGCCCCATCCCTCCTACATGTGCTGTACCTCTCTGCCCCAGGATGGCTCAGTGGGTACAGGGCAGAAACAGTCTCTGGAGGAAACCAACCTCTTCTTATGCCTCATGCTGGCACTCAGAACAGCCAGTGAAATATTATTTTGTCTCCCTCTCTCAGGTCACTACCATCCTGAAAGAGTCCAAGGATTACAAGATAGAGCCTGTTTCCCCAGGAGGCAACACTGCAAGGGTGTGTGCCAACGAGAGGAAAACCTCATCCTGGACTATTATCCCCCAAAAACTGGGTAAGTTTCTTTGCCTTTGTCATTCTCAAGGCCACTGCTGGTTTATCCAATCACCCAGGTCTGGATTACCCAATAGGCAGACTAAGCATGTGCTTAGGGCACAAGCAAACCAGGGGCATAAAAAAAGATATTTTATGGTATAGTATTGTTTTTATTTTGAATTACATATGGGGGGCACCATAAACTTTTCAGTGCTTAGGGCCTCTAAAGGTCTTAATCAATCCCAAGAGTCATTGTCAGTGTAGCTGTTACCGCTCACTCTCAACAGAAAGAGTTGTGGATGGCTTTGTGTGGCCTTCACCACAGTTTCAATCTCAGGGTTCAGTGCATATCCTGTGGTAGAGGGCTGCAGAGTATTACTGACGACCTCAGAAAGGCCAGGTGGAGGGGAGTCTGAGGTCTCAGAGATTGCTGCCTTTGTAACTACCTCTGATTAGGTGAATCAGCAGCAAACACGTCATTTCCCCTAAAAGGTTCAAGGTTAATAAGAGACTCCACAAACCACAGGAGGAGAGGTGCACCCTCCCCATCTAGCCAAGACATCGGAACACTGAGCACTTGGGACAAGTCAGCCCCCCTCATCAAGAAGGCTGCTTCTTTCCTGTCTCAAGAGCTCAACCCATCTTTAAGAGAGTCTCTGAGTCACTGCCCAGTACTTGCTGGAGGTCTCAAGGAAGGTTATGTAATGTGGCTACTTGTTAGGCCTCTATGAACTCTCATATATTACCCAGCTCCAAGCTCCTGGAACCTGATAGTTCACTGCTGGAACTTTATGACATCAAAGGATGTTTGTTTAAAGGGCAAAAAGGGGCAGGAAATATTTTTTTTATTTTCAACACCCAAAAAAACTGTGGGTTGCTTTCAACCTTCTCCCATAATTGCCAATAGAATCTGCAACAAAAAAGCAAGGAAAAGGGCCTAAACTATTGATCTTGATTCTGTGTATTTCTGTGGTTTAATGTCACCCATCCAGTGCCATGTCTGATTTGTGAGTTTAGATATTTGTGGGTTACAAAACTACAGCATTCTTTTGTTTCTTTTTTTTAAACCAATTCCCTACTTTTCTAATTTTTTTTAAAAAAGAGCAACTTCAACATCCTTAAAAAAGGCTCTAACATTGTGGTCATCATTATGAATTTCAGTTCTACCTCCAACCTAACCATATTTTCTGAGTAGGGTGTGGGATGGATATCCTGTGAAGTGGGAAAGGAGAACATGGTTTTAGAGTCTCTCCTATTGATTGGCTGGAAAATACCCAGTGAAAATGCCCAATGATCCAATTCTTTTCTCACTTTGTCTCTTGCACTTTTAGTTCCAATGGAAAGGCCAGTGTCTCATTCACCATCCCTGACACCATCACAGAATGGAAAGTCAGCGCCTTCTGCCTGGAGAAGGAGGCTGGGTTTGGCATAGCCCCCTCTACCTCCCTCACAGCCTTCCAGCCCTTCTTTGTCGATCTGACCATGCCCTACTCCATTGTCCGAGGGGAAACGTTTAATTTAATAGCCAATGCCTTCAACTATTTGGACAAATGCATCGAGGTACAGTATGGCCTTACCCTGTCCTTCCTGAGCCGCTCTCAGTCGTGTTTCCAGCAGGCGTTACCTCTTGCAGCTAGAGCAGAAAGCAGCAGTGCAGAGCGAAGCATTCCCAGTCTCATTCCAACCGCTCAGCCTTCTTTGCACTGGCTTCTCACACGGTGATGGGGTGTGTGTGGGGGGGGGAGGAGGGACGCTATGCTGGCTCTGTCTATTGACTGATGCTCTATCCTTCAGTGCAGACAGACCATATCATAAATGAGAACTCATTCTGAGAGGTATCTACATCCTGCTACTGTCCTCCTTGCAGGGGTCTGTCCTTTGGCATTTGGTGTTCTCAAAGCACAAGACAGAATTTTCATGGCAGCATGGCCCATGTGGATAGTTAGTGCCTAGCATGCTAGTGTGCTGTAGATTCATACCATGGCTTGCCAGGTACTGCCTCACCATGTAGACAACCATCAGAGGACATTGGCCAGGGTATTGGAATAAGTCATTCTGAAAAGTACAGTTCACTTTCTACTTGAATGGTGTCTGCAGACGTGCCTAAGGGCTGAAGACAGGGTTTATTATCACCTCTGAAGAATGCCCCATCCCTCCTACATGTGCTGTACCTCTCTGCCCCAGGATGGCTCAGTGGGTACAGGGCAGAAACAGTCTCTGGAGGAAACCAACCTCTTCTTATGCCTCATGCTGGCACTCAGAACAGCCAGTGAAATATTATTTTGTCTCCCTCTCTCAGGTCACTACCATCCTGAAAGAGTCCAAGGATTACAAGATAGAGCCTGTTTCCCCAGGAGGCAACACTGCAAGGGTGTGTGCCAACGAGAGGAAAACCTCATCCTGGACTATTATCCCCCAAAAACTGGGTAAGTTTCTTTGCCTTTGTCATTCTCAAGGCCACTGCTGGTTTATCCAATCACCCAGGTCTGGATTACCCAATAGGCAGACTAAGCATGTGCTTAGGGCACAAGCAAACCAGGGGCATAAAAAAAGATATTTTATGGTATAGTATTGTTTTTATTTTGAATTACATATGGGGGGCACCATAAACTTTTCAGTGCTTAGGGCCTCTAAAGGTCTTAATCTGGCCCTGCAATCACCCACCCGCTGACCTATGGACAGGAACTTCTGGGAAGTTCTGCTAGCCATACAAGACTTCACTGAAGCAGCTCTGCTGATCTCCCCTGCCTCAGTATTTGCAGACACGTGACAGTGAAGTAAGCCCCTGTGTTCTACCGCTTTTTGTTCCTGACAGTTTAGTCCTCTGATGTTCCAGAAAAGACCATTGAGCTCATCTGATTTTATGTGACACATCTTCAGGATTCTACGGCTATGTCTACACTGGCATGATTTTCCAGAAATGCTTTTAACGGAAAAGTTTTCCATTAAAAGCATTTTCGGAAAAGCATGTCTAGATTGGCAGGATGCTTTTCCGCAAAAG